ATATATGATAAGGGCATATAAATATGATATCATATTTATATGATAAGGGCAATATTTCCTGCTTTGGAGCAGTCTTGACTGTAATCCTAACCACAGTGTTACATGACAAAGCTGCTCCAGGCTCTTGGACTCTCTTTATGTGCTAAGTGCAGCCCTCTGGCCTCAAAATTTCTACTGTTGCTTCTTCCTAGAATAGTCTTCTGTGATTTACTCTCTCACTTTTTTAACGTCACTTTGCGAAGCCTTTCCTTACAACCTCTCCATCTTCTCTTTCATTTTTCTTCACAGCATTTCCTAGCAGAGAATAGTTTCTTACATGTTTCTTGTCTGTTTTCGCCTATTGGAATACAAGCCCAAAGAAAATGCTTTTGTTCCTAGTACAGAAAACGATCGCTGACAAGCAGGTGCTCAGTAAAGGTATTTTTAAAAATGAAGCACTGAATGAAAACAAGGCAAAGTTGGGCATGCCTTCCATGTGGTCTCATAACAGTACATATGAGCACTTACACTTTCTGTTCTGGCAAAAAGCCTTGAAAATCCTTAAAGCAGAAGCTTCAATACTTACATAAAAGATACTCATCAATGATTAATGCAAACTAAAAAATTAGTGTCTATGACTAAAAGGTACATCGAAATAATACCCTTTGGCAGGTTAACTTACCGTGCTTTCAATGCCTTGTTTTAAAGACCATATCTACAGTGTATTTTGTACTGTATACCACATTTACTGACATTTAGCTCTGACATTAAGACAATGTTAAATTTCCTCACCTGGATCTGAAGATTTGTGCATTTTAGCTACTAAATGCCAATACTCTAAATGCTAACTCATAAAATATAGCTAAAAATGGAAGGCGATAGAAGCAACGTGTTGAAGTATGATTCCCCAGTCTGGCAGGGCACGACTGCTTCTCAGGTTATCTGACTTACTGTCACACTAAGAACAGCATCCGAAATACAGGCTCCGCGCCTCCTGGGCCCTGGGCGCCGTCTCCGCCTGCCCCAACTCTGGGTCCGCTTTGAGACAGGGACGCGCCGGGCCGAGACACTCGGGGGCTCGCGGGGGCTCGCGGTCCGCTGCCCGGCTCTCGGAGCGCCCCGCGGTCTCTCCCGGGGCCGGAGCGGGCTGGAGGAGTCAGGTGGGAGGCGGGCAGGCGTGGGATACGTCCTTACCTTTTTTATTTTTTTTACTTTTCGTAGTATAATGTTAAACCAAAATTTATTTTAATTCGTGTAGGCTAAGCATAGTAAAGGTCCGGCTCACCCAACTCAGACGGGGCCCAGGCGGCGCGCGCTGGAGCCGGGCCGGGCCGGCGGGAGGGGCGTCCTCCGGGCCGCCCCGCAGCATCACGGGAGCTCGCCGGGCGCCGGCCGCCTCCCGCTTCCCACGCACCTGCAAGCGCGCACTCCTCCTGGACGCGGTGTGAGGAGGAGGGGCTCCTGGCGAGCTCGGAAAATGTTTTTGTAACTGGCTTTCTGTGGAAGGCCGACGTTCTCCACGTAAACGCGGCTGCTGTCTGTAGTGAGGCAAGAGGCAGGCGGAACGTTGCTCCAAGACAGCCCGGAACCACAAGCCGGCGGCACAGCCTTCCGTCCTCACCCCGGCCATCACTTCCGTGTAGGGGTCTGGAATACCTGCGACCCTCTCGCCGTGACGACGGGAAAGGCACTTCCGGTGTCCGTTGCCAAGGCGCGGGCCCTGAGGGCCGTGGCAGCTTTATTTGCGCGGTCTTCTCCCCCCTTCCCCGGGGGTCGAGATGTCGGGGCTCGAGATGTCGGGGCTCAGTCAGGAGGAGACGCAAGGCTGTCGTCAGCTGCTCGGCCTACTGGACAACAGCGAGATCATGGCCCTGTGCGACACTGTCACCAACCGCCTGGTGCAGCCTGCGGACCGCCCAGGTGCGAGCCGCCGCCCCTCGGGCC